GGGGAAAAGGGGCAAGTGATGAGGAAATGAGGTGAATGAGGGGAAGGGGGTGAGTGTGGGGAAAAGGGACAAGTGTGAGGAAAAGGGGTAAGGGAGGAAAATGGGGGAGTGAGAGGCGGGAAGGGGAGAGTGAGGAGGGGGAAAGGGAATGAATGAGGGGCAAGGCAGAGGGCTGAATGAGAAGGAAAGGGTCTCTCCCCGTGCATCGATCCGGAAAAAGACACAAAATAAAACTTGGCCAGGATCTCCCAAAGCCCTGGGGAGTGTAAGGGCTCCTCAGGGCACTGTTTCATCAGGCAACAATAAAAACACCATCATTCCTCCGACATCCTCCTCCCAAACCCTCCCAAATGTGCATGTAGGACCCAAACACACCCTCTGGCACCTTTTGATAAGAAGCACTGGATGTTTTTGCAGCCACCAAGGCCAAGGGCTGTGAGCAGAACCTGTTTTATTGTGCCAGTCAGCCCGAACACCCAGTCCAGCCTTGGCACTTGTCAAGGTTTGTCCTGGTTTTTGTTGGTCTTGAGATGATTTTGTCCGTTCTGTTAATTTTCAGGTGTTCAGGGAAGGTCTGGAACTGTGCAGAAAAGGGGATCTCTGGAAGCAGGGTGCCCTGTGCCACCACACAGTGCCTGTGGTGCCAGCTGGGGTTTGCCTCCATCTCTGTTCAGTCACTGGCAGCACGTTTCATAGCTGTTTATTTATGTGTTTCTTTTACTTATCTTTTATTTATATATTGTTATTTCTTAATAAATAATAAATTATTATAATTTATAATAAACTATCTTATTAGTTGTAACGTTATGTTAACATATTAATAATGAATAAGTTACTTTGTAATAATTTTTGTTATATTATTATTATTATATATTTATTATTATAATCTATATTTGAGTTCATGTGAAGTAAACTAGTCAGGGTTTGTCCCCACAAGCAGCAGGATCCTGAGTGAAATAAGATCCTCCTGTGAAAGAAAATATGTCATGTAGGAGAAATCTGTGTGCAGGTGACCCTTCTCCACAGATACATGGGGATACCAGGAAATGGGAAGATTTCTCTCTTTAAATCAAAGTAATTTCTTTTTTGCTCATAAGGGGTAGGTCAGTAATTTTTCCAAAGTTCAGGCCAAAACGAATTATGAAGCATAACATTTAAGGGTTGCTGGAGGTTCCTTTTGGGTGATACAGGTTGTTAAGGGGGGGAAAACCACCCCTTGAATCCTTTGTGATGCTCTACACGCAGTTATGGATGACAGTTCTGAGCCTGATCCCAGGAAATGTGTGAGGAAAGGACAAGGAGGACCCCCAGGACCAGCAATCCAGACCCCTTGGTGGACACAGGGAGGATTTCTCAGCTCAGGGCCCTCTGAGGATCGTAAATTATGGAGTTGTAAAGGTTGGAAAAGCCCTCCAAGACCGTGGAGTCCAACCCTTCCCCAGCACTGCCAAGGCCACCACTGACCTGTGTGCCCAAGTGTCACATCCACAGGGCTGTCAAATCCCTCCAGGGATGGATGGGGACTCCACCCCTGCCCTGGGCAGCTGTGCCAGGGTTGGACAATGTTTTTGTGAAGGAATTTTCCCAACATACATCCTGACCCTCCCCTGGCACAGCTGGAGGCCGTTCCCTCCCCTCCTGTCCCTTGTTCCCTGGGAGCAGAGCCCGGCCCCCCTCATATCCCCCCTCCTGTCAGGGACTTGCAGAGCCAGAAGGTCCCCCCTGAGCCTCCTTTTCTCCAGGCTGAGCCCCCCCAGCTCCCTCAGCTGCTCCCAAACACAGAGCACTGGGGATCAGGGCTCCCTTTCCCCAGGATATCACAGGTTTTTGGGACAACCAGCCAACTGAAATCTGTGGAGAAGAGCAGCCCGTATTTGCCGAGCCCCCCCCCCAGCTTTGAGGACATCCTGCTCCTCCAGCAGAGCCTTGGGTGACTTCAGGGATGGGCCACCCAGGAGCACAAATGGCACAGCCCAGGAGCTCGGAGGGCACTGACAGGAGATGTGACACGAGACACAGGGCAGGGAGGGACACGAGAGCTGAGGCTGTTTTATTAGAGCTGAGCGCTGAGGGGAGACAATTCCTACAGGAGACACAGAGCTGGGGGGAGGCTGCCCAACATGGACAGCTCCTGCTCCTTGTAAGGCTGTCAGGAAGGCTGGAACCATCCAGGAACACATTCCTTCTGCAGCTTATCTTCTGCTTTGCTACTTTAAACAATCCCCCCCCCCCAACCCTGGCGGAGCAGGGGCTGTACCAGTCCACCCCCACCACCAGGACTGGTCCCAGTAAGGAACTCCTGGATGTGTTTTCCACACATTCTTCCCTGTGAGGGTGGGGAGGTCCTGGCACAGGTTGCCCAGAGAAGCTGTGGCTGCCCCTGGATCCCTGGAAGTGTCCAAGGCCAGGTCTAGTGTCCACCTGGGAAGGTGTCCCTGCCCCTGGCAGGGGGTGGAACTGGATGGGCTTTAAGGTCCCTTCCCACCCAAACCATTCTGGGATTCTCTGCTTCCTGATGCTTCCCACAAGAAAACACTAAGTCTGGATGCTTTTAAAACACAGAGGCTGACTTTCAGGATTTGGCATCCAGCATTCCCAGCCTCTGAATTAAGAGCTAAAAGGACACAATTCTGATTTCTGTGAGTGGAAGTTCAGTTCTGTGAGTGAGCATCTGTGCTGTAAATAATTCACAGCGATGAGGGGCACTGGGCAAAGCCTTGGGAGGAGTGGGGGGACACTGGGATTGCAGTGGAGCTCTTTTTGGGAGAGGGGATGGAGATGCCCCTTCTCTGGCACGTGAGACACCTGCCCTCAGAGCTGGGTTAAAGGAGCAGGGGAAGGACAGTGTTATCTTCCCAAACAGGCAGCACTTGAGGAGGCAGAAGAGGAATTAAAACTGACACACAATTAGAGTAGAGCCAGCCTGCCAGCGCTCCTGGAATCCCATGGACAGCAAATGGAAATCAGGCAGAAGCTATTCCTAGGCTGAATTTGGGGGTGAAAGAAGTAGAAATAGGCTTTTGCTAAGAGCTAAATTCAAACCCTTCCCAAGAATCCAAATTTAGTGTTGAAGGCTCCTGGTGCCCATGTGCCAGCTCCCACAGCCTGGCTGCACATGGGAAAGAAGGAAATATAGAACCAGGAAAGGCCCATGGCAATGAGCTCCCATAAACCTGAGGAGCTCTGCCTGACTCCCAGACCTTTGGAAAACCAGATCTTTGAGGATGAGGCTGCCTTGTCTCATTCCCATCATTGTCTCCGTGCAGGTGACAGTGACAGGGTGTTAAAGTCACTCATGGCCAGGGGGCAGTGAGAGGGGAAAGAACTGGAGGAAAGCAGGAGCAGGAATTCTGCTCTCTTGGCCAGTCAGGAGCTGCCAGCTATATTCCAATGCTGCTGTGGACTTCCAGGGGCTGCCTTTCCAGCTCTGCAGAACCCTGGAAGCAGATAATGAGCAGGTGAGCACATGGAGCAGGGTGAATGGAGGTCAGTGGGGCAGGGATGGGCTCACCAGTCACATCACATTACAAGGAACAAGGAGCAGTGAGGTAGGAGCCCCTTTCCCTCCCCCTCCTCCTCTCAGCAGCAGGAGGACAGGAGGCCTCTACAACCCAGTGCAGGAGCTGCCATGGTGCCTCCTGCCCCTTCCAGCTAATCAGACAAAACCAAACCATGTCCAGCCCACTGATCTGTTGGCAGAGTGTCCAGCTCCACTTTTCCCAAAGGTTTTCATCTCAAAGGATCTTTACACAAAGGAGCAGCTGCACCTGCCACCAAAGTGCTGCTCCTTGTCAGAGGAATGTTACAGCTCCGAACCACCCGCAGCAGGTCAGTCCAGGACACAGGGAGGGACCTTTAATCACCTCCCAAGAGGACTCTCTCCCTCTGAGGGACACTTCTGTCATCACTCGAGCCAGCCCCTGCCTGTCACCCCCGGGAAGCTGTTTGTCACCAAGATTCTGGCTCCAACTAACACCCCCCAGGGCCAGCTCGAGCGTAATTCTGCACCAAGGTCACTGCTTCCCACTGAGGGGCCACAGGAAGATCCCAGCATGGATCCCTCAGGGTTTAAATGCCCTTCAGTCAGGGAAGTCTGAGCTCTCACCCCCTGCTGACCCCAGAAAGGGGCACTGCAAACTCACCTAGAAGAGTTTCTCGTAGCATTTGTCGCAGTGGACAATGTCCCGGTGGATGAATATTTTATCCAGGAGATCTCCCATTGCTTTGTGGCAAATTCCACACTGCCAAAGGGAAAACAAGGAAGTCAGACAGCAACCAAAGCCCCACACAGGAATGACAGCAGGGAGAGAACAATCTCTGCATTGTTTTATAAGGGGCTGAGGGTGTGACCTTTGAGGCTGAACAGCAAAATGGACCTGGAGGCCTCCTCCTCCCACCCTCTCCACGCCTCCTCCTCCCACCCTCCCCATGCCTCCTCCTCCCACCCTCCCCATCCCCACAGACTTTCCCTGTAAACTTTGTAAGCTTTGAGGCTTCAGCCAGCCCTGTGTTGGGGCACAGAGGCCACAAAGCAGCAAGTCTGCCCCAGGGACAGCGACATGAGGGTGTCCTGAGTGTGCTGCTAGTGATAAAGAATCCTCCTTGTTCTAACACACATTCATTCCAGCACCTGAAAAGCTTCTGGGGATACAACCAACACCTGGGACTGCCCAACTTCGTTTGTCCCGACGCGACGCAAGCCTTTGGCACACGCTGGATCCATCACTCTGAAAGCCTGAGGATGGAATTTGCACCAATATCCTCCCTCTCCCTCCATTCCCAGCAGCTCAGGGAAGCAGCAGAGAGGTTTACCCTGAAGCAGTACTCGTGGCAGTGGATGTTCAGGTGCTCTATGATGATCTTGGGGCAGTCCCGGATCTCGCGGCTGCAGTAACTGCACACGGGGTCACTGGACCTGGGCAGGACAGAAGGATGGATTCCTCTGCAACACCAGCTGGTTCCAGTCCCAGCACTGGTGGCAGAGGCTTTTACCAACCCCTGTGAGCAACCAGCTCCCACATGTGTCAACCAACTGGACAGGTGCTGTCCCAGGGGTGCAGGATAGGTCTTAGAATCATGGAGTGGTTTGGGTTGGGAGGGACCTTAAAGCTCATCTCCTTCCACCCTCCTCCTGTGGGCAGGGACACCTCCCACTATCCCAGGTTGCTCCAAGCCCCGTCCAACCTGGCCTTGGACACTTCCAGGGATTCAGGGGCAGCCACAGCTTCTCTGGGCAACCTGTGCCAGGGCCTCACCACCCTCCCAGGGAAGAATTTGCTCCTAATATCCCATCTAAACCTACTCTCTGTCAGTTTGAAGCCATTCCCTGTGTCCTATCACTCCAGGCCCTTGGAAATAGTCTCCCTCCATCTTTCTTGCAGGCTCCTTTTAGGTCCTGGCAGGCCACAATTCGGTCACCCCAAAGCTTCTCTTCTCCAGACTGAACAATCCCAACTCTCTCAACCTATCCTCCCAGCAGAGCTGCTCCATCCCTCTGATCACCTTCTTGGCCTCCTCTGGCCTCTCTGACTTCAAGGCAATGTCATTGTATTTTCCAAAGATCCCTCCATGCTGCTGTTCCACCCACCCCCCCCCCCCCCAATATCCTCAAAAAATCAAACCCTTCCAGTCATTTCTGGGTCAGGGTTTGCTGAGCCCCCCAAGGCAGCCCCGACCTGTCCTACCTGTGCAGGGGAGCACTGGACAGGTAACTGTGGTGGCTGTAGCTGGTTCTGTCCACATCAGTCAGATCCACAAGGCTGCCACTGGAGATGGGGAAAATACAGGAAGAGAATCTCAGCTGCAATCATGAATCATGGATGCAGGGATCTGGAATGTCCCAGCACCTGTTCCTTGGGGAGAAGCTCCCCAAGTTTCCTTCCCAGCAGGTCAGCATAGGACACAAGGAAGGACATTTTAATCACCTTTAACTACAATTCTGCACCTCTAAGGGACATTGGGAACATCCTGGAGGAGGGAGGGAGCAGGAGGAAGCAGTTTCTTTCCCTGCTCCATCATTTAGTGTTGCCCTTTCCATCAGGGAAATGCCTTTCCAGGGCTGGTTAGGGGGTCAGGCAGCCCGTGCTGGGGGTCCCACTCCAGGAGTTGGGAAATGGAGCTCAGGAAGGGGCTGAGAAGAGCCAAAAATTTGGGCAGTGCAAGCTCCCTCTGCTCTCTCCCTTCTCCAGTATATTCCCAACCCCATGCTCCCACCCCTTGCCAGCCATCAGACCATCCACCAACCAGGTTATCTCATGAAAATGTCAGAAAAGGCAGGATTAGGTGGGCTGGGAGCAGGGATACAAGGAGGGGGAGCATATTTTCCACTGGCAAAATCCTGCACCGGTGGCTGGACCAGCAAAGCTGTGAAATCCTGCCTCCAAAACACCAGCAACACTCCTCTGGATGTTTCCATCTGGCCCCTGGAAATAGGACCTGTTTTCATTGCTCACTGAACTCCCAAACCCTGCCCTGTTCTGCAGGAAAAGGCAGGGAGCACATCCCTAGTCTCACCCAGCTGAGTGTTCCCTCCCTGCCTGGCTTTCCTGGATATTTGGCTTATCTTGGGCTGCTGACAGCGGCTTTGCTGAGCTCCAGGACAGGCTGGAGATTTCCAGGCTGTAATCAGCTCCCCCAGGAATGCCAGCACAGCGCTGAGGGAGGCTCAGTGCCAGCGGGGAAGCATCAAACTGGGGTTAACTGGTGCCACAGCACTGGAAGGATGATTTCCATCGGGCCAAACCCTGCTCTGGGCCACACTGCTGCCAGTCTGGAGCAGCTTCACTCAGTTACCTTCAAGCAGAACACAGAAGACTGAAGATTTAAGCTTGAAAACGGCCTAATCTAACTTTTTTAAACTCAAAAAATAACTCTTTTTTGAGCGAGAACCCCCAACCTCCACGTTTTGCTCACCACCTCCAATCGTTTGTCTACGTGTTCAGGTGGCCAGTGAAGCCTCGCGGTGGCCAAATATGCAGCCTAAAAACCTGCAGGGTGGTGTTTGCATCCACCTCAGAGACCACCCCGCTCCAAGGGGAGCTTCCCTGCCCCCTGGGAGCGGTGGGACAGAGGGAGGAGTTGTCACAACTGGGTCCTCACCCAGCAAAACTCTGCTCCCCAATTAACAGGGCTAATTAACTGCGGAACTCCGAGTGCTCCGGCCCCTGGAGCCGGGTGGGAGGTGTGAGCTGGCAAAGCCGCGTGCTGGGCCGGGCACACGCGTGTGTGTGACACAAGTGTGTGACACACGAGTGTCCCCGGCCGCTCCTCGTACCTTCCATAGCGCGGGGAGGCTGGAAAGCCGCCGGTGTTCACGTACTCCTTCACAAAGAGGATCCCTCTCCTAAGGAACCAGAACCGGAAGCATTTGCATGAGAAAAGAGTGGAGCTAATGAGAGACCACGCGTGTGTGTGTGTGTCTGTGTCTGTGTGTGTGTCTGTGTGTGTGTGCGTGTGCCGGGACACGGGACGGGATGCTGTTGTCCTGGGATAAATCCCGGAGAGCGAGCATTGTTGCTAAAGAACACCTAATACACTCCCCTCTAATTACCCCACCAAAACAAATCAAGTTAATTAGGAAGAATGGGATGCATAATGTAACCCTTTCATCCAGTTATCCGCCGGTTTTGCAGGGATAAGTCCTTCCCAGCTCGTGTCAGGATTATTCACACAATGAGCGCGGGGAGAGCTCGCGGTTCTGCCCGCGGGCACCAGACCCGACTGGCACAGCGCTGCTTCCCGGCGCTGCTCCGCCTCTGGAATATCCCCAGGGTTTTCAGCCAGCGCTGGTTTGTCTGGGGATGGTTTTGCTCCCTTTGCATATTCATATCCCCGCCTCTCCCCGCTCCCGGTTTCAGAATTCCATGCCCCCTGTGCGTGCAGCTGTGCCCCGGCTGAGCTCTGCCCTGTGCCCCCAGCTCTGCCCGCAACCACGACACGAACTCATCAGGCTCTTTCTCCACGGGGCATTTTCACTGCTGCCTAAAAGCTACAATTAATCCTCTCTCCTTACACGGGCAAACTAAGCCCTGGCACAGCTGAGGAAAGAAGAGCCCTTCTTTGTATTTTTTTAACTGAGAAAAACCACTTTCTGTGTCATAGAAACATGAATCCCAGAATGGTTTGGGTTAGAAGGGCCCTTAAAGATCATCTAAAAGGACCTTAAAGCTCATCTTGTTCCACCCCATGGGCAGGGACACCTTTCACTAGCCCAGGTTGCTCCAAGCCCCGTCCAACCTGGCCTTGGACACTTCCAGGGATGGGGCAGCCACAGCTTCTCTGGGAAATCCATTCCAGCACCTCCCCACCCTCCCAGGGAAGAATTCCTTCCTTAAAACACTCTCATCTCCGATTCTAATGTGGAATATTGATGGGGAGCTGGGTCTGACCTACTGAATAACTTTAGATAGAATCCTAGGATTGTTAAGGTTGGAAAAGATCCCCAAGTCCAACCGTCAGCCCAGCAGCACCACCGTGGTCACCACTAACCCATGTTCCCAGGGGCCACATCCACATATTTTCTGAACACTTCCAAGGGATGGGGACTCCACCCCTGCCCTGGGCAGCTGGGCCAGGGCTGGACAACCCTGTCCATGATGAAATTTTTCCAATATCCCACCTAACCCTCCCCTGGCACAGCTTGGGGTCGTTCCCTCTCCTCCTGTCCCTTGTTCCCTGGGAGCAGAGCCCGACCCCCCCCGGCTCCCCCCTCCTGTCAGGGGGTTGCAGAGCCAGAAGGTCCCCCCCTGAGCCTCCTTTTCTCCAGGCTGAGCCCCCCCAGCTCCCTCAGCTGCTCCTGCTGCTCCAGCCCCTTCCCAGCTCTGTTCCCTTCCCTGCACACGCTCCAACCCTCTCTATGTCCTTCTTGTGAGGGGCCCAAAACTGCCCCAGCACTGGAGATGCCTCAGCAGTGCCAGCACAGGGATAGGCACTGCCCTGGTCCTGCTGCCACAGGTGCCAAAGGCTGGGATGCCCCCCCCTCCCAGGATGGCTCTGTGCCCCCTTGGCTCTTTACCCGGCAGTGCTGGAGTCAGGGTGGAACCCGGGGCTGGAGAGCCTCTCACTGGAACTGGAGAGGAGCCTGGTGGGAGAGGGAAAATCTGTGAGCCACCACAGGAGCCAAGCTGGCAGGAGAGGACCTAAGGACCTACCCCTGCTGCTGGGAGGGCAGGTTGATAGCACAGCCCTTAACTGGCACCAAACCAGCTCCTTTTCTGCTTCCCTGGAGAAGGGGGTTGGAAAAGTCTCATTTATAGGGCCATGGGAGAGATGATCAATAAGGACAATAAGATCTTCCAATAAGGACAGACTCCAAGTGAGTCAGGCAGCCTGAATGGGAGCAGCTCTGGAGGGATTTGGCATGGGATGTGCAGCAGAAGAGGAGCAGCTGGGCCGTGGTGGCCAAAGCCAACACCACTGTCCCCAGCCCAGTCCTTGGAAAAGCTGCAGAAGGGGAAAGGTGGCAAAACTATGGAAAACAGCCTGGCCCATTGGCTCAGCCATGAGACCTGGGTTGTTTGCCTTGCAGGGAGGAGGCTGCTCTTTCCTGGAGCCATTCCAAGGCTATCCAGGGATCCTGTGCCTCCTCTTCACACCCACAATATAGTGGCCAGTCCAGATCCAACACTCAGCCCCGTTGTGGCCCCATACACGTGGGTGGGCTGGCACTGCCAGGAGGGACTGCAGGAAGCCCAGGGCAATGGTATTCCATACTGGATAGATCCTGCCCTCCCAACAGCCCCGTTCTGGGAGCAGTTCAGTCGTTTGATCATTGACTTTCTGGGGACACTGATCTTGTCTCTCAAAGTCTCTCTTCGCTTTGAGCTCTTTTTTCCCAAAGCAAAAGCCAGTTCTTGGCCAGGGACCAGCTCTCCATCCTCCTGCCCCTCTGCTCTGGCATCCCACATGGTGGGAAACCTCCAGAGACCAGAGATGGATGTATTCCAGGCCCTGTGCTGGGCAGCTTTTGCTAGGAATGGTTTAAGAGTAGGTCTGTGCCTCTGGAATGGTTTCCACTCCCTGGAAACTGTTTCTCTCTTAGCTCTTGGCTTTGCTTCCTGGCTTCTCTTCCCCAAATTTCATGGAAGTTTCCCTCACAACCACCACAGCTGCCCATTTACCTGGTGCTGTTGTAGTTCAGGCTGTCCATGTAGAACGGCACCCTGTGGCTTCTCTGGGCCATGGACATACTGGGATCTCTGGGAAGGGAGTCATGGCTATGGGAAGGAAGTGGTGCAGTCTCAGGCTCTGATCCTGTGCACGTGAGGGATCCTCACAAGCGCTGGGAATCTTGGCTGAATGTCCCTGCTGGGCCCCAAACTCCCCCACACTCCACAGGCATCGCCCGCTCAGGGAATCGGGACATCCCAGTGGATGAACAAAGGGAGCAGTGGGGTGGTTTGGGGTTTGAAAGGTTTGGATGCCCCCCTGACTCACCGCCCAGCCGGGGGGGTGAACTCCCCGTGCCCCCTGGCACCGTTGGATCGGCTGCTCCCGTCGGGATCCAGGGTGGGCCTGGCGAGGAAGAACAAAGCCCTGAGCACGTTGTAGTGCCTGGAATCCCCACCCAGCAGTGCCCACCATGGCTCTGGCTGCTGGCTGTTGATGATCTCAGAGGTCTTTTCCAACCACAGAGATTCCATGATTCCACGGTGCAATCCCTCCACACCCCACATTCCATGCCCAGGAGAGCAGCCTCCAAACCCAATCCCTGAGCATTAGGATATATCCAACGAACATATCCAAGATTGTTTCCTTCCCACTGTACCCCCTGTGTGTGTGCCCTGCTGCCCAGCTGGCCCACCCCGCTGCCAGTCCCTGGAATCCCCACTCAGCAGTGCCCACCATGGCTCTGCCACTGCCCAGCCCTGGCACAGCTGCCCAGGGCACTGGTGGAGTCCCTGTCCCTGGAAGTGCTCAAAAACACGTGGATGTGGCACCTGGGGACATGGCTTGGTGGTGGCCATGGTGGGGGAGCTGGGTTGGCTGTTGGTGATCTCAGAGGTCTTTTCCAACCACGATTCCATGGTGCATTCCCTCCACACCCCACATTCCATGCCAGGACAGTAGCCCCCAAACCCAACCCCTGAGCATTGGGACATATCCAATGGATATATCCAAGATTGTTTCCTTCCCACTGCACCCCCTCCACATGCTGCCAGCCCTGCCCACTTTCCCTTTTCCCAAGCCAGAAATCCTTAGAAGAATGGCTTTAACCCATGGACACAGCTCAGGCTCTTTCCACAGGGAAAATGAGCCCATGGCTGATGGTCATGTGAGGGCAGGGTTAGGTGGGATATTGGGAAGGAATTCCTGGTTGGGAGGGTGGGGAGGCCCTGGCACAGGTTGCTCAGAGAAGCTGTGGCTGCCCCATCCCTGGAAGTGTCCAAGGCCAGGTTGGATGGGGTTTGGAGCAACCTGGGCTAGTGGAAGGTGTCCCTGTCCATGGCAGGGGGTGGAACTGGATGGGCTTTAAGGTTTCCAGCCCAAACCATTCCATGATTCCCTGATTCTGTGAAATGTTGTCTCCAACCCTGCCAGCTGAGTTGAGGAGGATCTCAAGGCTCTCAGGAGGATTTTAATTCCAAGGCCTAGAGCTGCTGCTGGTGAGGTAGGAACGTCTTCCCCAAAGTTCCTCATGTTGTACTTTGTCCCAGGTGTACAGTCCTGTGACAGGCCCAAATCCATGAGGATTTAATACTGCTGTTCCCTCTGGGAACAAAATCCTGTTCTCACTCCTCGATGGTACAACCTGGAGCAGAGTTTCTGTCAGATCATTCTGTACCAGCAGTTTTCCCTGCCTCTGCATCTTAAACCCTCCATGCCCAAACCTTCCACCCCCAAACCCTCCATCCCCAAACCCTCACCTCCTGGTGCTGAACACTTGGCTGTCCACGTAGGCCGGGATCCTGTGGCTGGGAGCTGTCCCAAAGAAGGGCTGGGGGTCCTGGTACAAGGGCACAGGGTGCTGGCTCTCATGGGCACTGAGAACACTCTCTCTGGAGCTGAAGTCAGACCTGCTGAAGAATTAAAGTCAATTTGACCATAAAGCCAATGACTGCCTGTGCTCTGCCCCCCTCACACAGGGGCTCAGGGTTTGCCAAGGCTGGATCCTGCCTCTTCCTACAGGCAAGAAGGAGAACCTGGGACATGATTTTGTTAAGACAAGCACAGAACCCCAAAATAGTTTGGGTTGGGAGGGACTTTAAAAGCTCATTTCATTCCACCAGGGACACCTTCCACTAGCCCAGGTTGCTCCAGCCTGGCCTTGGACACTTCCAAGGATGGGGCAGCCACAGCTTCTCTGGGCAACCTGTGCCAGGGCCTCACCACCCTCACAGCCAACAATTCCTTTCTATATTCCTTTGGTGAATATCATTGGATTAGGCACATTTACTGGGGCCAGGACTTCAGCCAGGTGTGTATCAAGGAGCAGGAAGGGGAAAGGAGGATGGTTTGGGAGCCACTGATGGCAGAAGCAAAGGGATATTCCCACTGTACCTGGCTGCCCCTGGGCCAGGCTCACTGTGCCTCCAGTCCTGGGCACCATCTGTGGTGGGGATGGTTTGATCCTCATGGGCTGGAGTGACCCTGGGGAGGGAGGAAAGAGCTGCATCAGCTCCAGAACCTGTGTCTGAGCCTGTCCCCTGAGGGAGGAAATGCAGGGACACCGTGGTTATAGAATCCTAAAATCCCAGAAGAGTTTGTGCTGGAAGGGACCTCAAAGATCATCCAGTTCCACCCCCTGCTGTGGGCAGGGACACTTTCCACTAGCCCAGGTTGCTCCAACCTGGCCTTGGACACTTCCAGGGATCCAGGGGCAGCCACAACTTCTCTAGGAAATCCATTCCAGCACCTCCCCACCCTCACAACCAACAATTCCTTCCCAATTTCCCGTCTGTTCCTGCCCTCTGGCAGTGGGAAGCCATTCCCTGTGTCCTGACCCTCCATCCCTTGTCCCCAGTCCCTCTCCAGCTCTCCTGGAGCCCCTTTAGGCCCTGCAAGGGGCTCTCAGCTCTCCTTGGAGCCTTCTCTTCTCCAGGGGAACCCCCCCAGCTCTCCCAGCCTGGCTCCAGAGCAGAGGGGCTCCAGCCCTGGGAGCAGCTCCGTGGCCTCCTCTGGACTCTCTCCAGTAGCTCCACATCCTTCTGATGTTCAGCTGCAGCAACTCCTGTGGAAAATCCCTGCAGTGCTGAAGGTCTGGGATGAGGGGGCAAAGGTGGCCCTGGCAGTTTATGTTGGTTTGAGAATTCACTAAGCCAAGAAATGAGCTTTTGTGATGCCTTTGGACAGGGCAGCAGGAGAACTCCGGGGGTGGGAGACACTATCCTGGTTCCCTGACTCCCCACCTGTCCCGGCGTGGCTCGGACTCATTGGCACGTGGGGGCTCTGGAGCAGGGATGCTGCTTCCTCCAGGTCCAGAGCTGGACCTGCCAAGACAGGAGACCCTTTAGAGTCTGCAAAAGTACCACTGTGCCCAGAATTCCTGTGGGATGGAGATGCAGCCTCAAGAAAAGTACAATATCCCTTCATAGGACTGTGCCAGATGGAATCATGGAATCGTTCAGGTTGGAAAAGCCCTCCAAGATCATCAAGTCCAACCCTCAACTCAGCCCCACCACCATGTTCACCATGAAACCACATCCTCAGATATTCCAAAGAGAAACAAGACAGAGGGAAAATCCAGACCTGTTAAAAAACAGGGCTGAAAGAAAAGAGAAATAAAGCTCCTGATGGGCTTCAGTTCCCTGTTTACCTTTCCCAAACTTGACACCTGAATTCTGGGTGTTTAGTTGCAACTATTATGGGTTATCCAGCAGTCCTGTGTTCTGTTTCTGTCTGCTCAGGGTGTGAGATGGCCTTGTTTGGGTCCTCAGCTCCCTCTTCCCAGCGTGGGGACTCCCAACCCCAACCCCAGCACCTTCAGTCCCTCCTCCAGAACCCCCTGCAGCAAATCCCTCCATGTTCTCCCATCAGGAAAAGCAAATCCCAGTCTTTCTCTTGCCTTCTTTCCGTGAATTCTTCGCTCTGCACATGGAATGACATCCCCTTGTCCGTGTCCCTGCTCCCACCAGTGCTGTCCTGGGACCTGGGGAGAGGAACACTCTGCTTTACACCCCCAGGTGAAGATGTTGCTCACTGAGACACTTGTGAGGAAGCCCAATTTGACCAAAAGCCTCAACTCTTTCAAATTTAGGGGGAAACTATGGACAAAAGCAAAGAAATCCTCAAAGTCCTTCCATTTGGACACTCAGCCCTGCCTGGGGAAGTTCAGAACGAGACCCAGGGTTACCACAGAGGTGTCACCCCATGCCAAATTTTATTGCTTCTGTTGGCACATGTCCCTAGAGACAGGCTCTGCTCCCAAATTTGAGGTCTAGGCAGCAAATCCTGGCAGTCCAGCTGGACAGGGTTTGCTGGCTCCAGCTAAGGAGGACCTTTTCTCCCAGGTTTTCCTATAAAACCCTGACAAAAGGTTCACCCAGCAGAAGCAGCGCTGGAATCAGGCACAAAAATGTCCCCACGTTGCACAAGTGGAGGTTTAGGTTGGATATCAGGGAAAACTCCTTCGTGGAAAGGGTTGTAAAGCACTGGAACAGGTTGCCCAGGGCAGTGGTGGAGTCCCCATCCCTGGGAATGCTCAGAAAATGGGTGGATGTGGCACTTGAGGCCACGGGTGGGTGACCACAGTGGTGGTGCTGGTTGATGGTTGGACTTGGTGACTTTAGAGGTTTTTTTCCCACCATAACAATTCCATGATTCCATGAAAAAGAGGAGCCTGGGAGAAGATTTTAAAAACAGAAGCCTGGGAGAGGATTTTGTGAGTGTGTGTATGTGGGGGAAGACACGCAAGGAATTAACCCTCATCCTCCAGGAAAAGGCAGGGGGGATTATCCAGTTCCTTACCCGACCATGCCGGGCTCATGGGCTGTGGGTTCCTGTGCCCTGGGCAGCTCTGGGTGGGCACCATGGCCAGCAGGTCCTTGGCCCCTCTCAGTGAGGCTGGTTGAGCCTGAAAACCTAAAATAAAGATCCATGATTAAGGCAGTGGAGAAAATCCCTGCTGGGGTGGGTGGGCAGACACCAATTCCCAGGACAGGAGCCACCAGGCCAGAGCTATTCCCAACATCCCAGAAGAGCAAACACCCCAGTCATCCCAGTCCTTACTCGTTCCAGTGGGGCTGGAGCTGTGCTGGGCCCTCAGGACTGGTGGAGCTGCTCCTCTCCTCGTACCCCAGGACAGACCTGCCAACCAGAAAGGCCCATCACATCCCTAAAAACTGGCACTGGAGGATACTCTGCTCACCAGGCAGGGTTTGTGCCAACCTGCACCAGGACCTTCTTTCCATCACAACAGTTGCATTTCCATATATTCCAGCTGCTTCCATATATCCCTGCTGCCACTCCAGCATCCCCGAACATTCCACTGGATTATCAGGGAATAAAAAGGGACTGACTGAACCCCACCAAGAGGAGGAAAAGTCTGGAGGCTGTGGCTCGTGTCATAGGAGATGGAGAGGGATTTAAACCTCAGTTGCTTCCATCCTCGGGGCAAAAGCTGGGAGAAGGAGCCTCTTTCTGTGCCTCCCCATTCAGGTTTCCCTTAATCCTCAGTCTTCCTCACAAACCCACTAAATTCACCCCACTCCTACCTTTTAAAGGAATATTCCATGTCCTCTCTGTGCACAGGGGCTCTCTCAGTGGGAGGAAAAGGGACATCAGGCTGCAAGCTGGACCTGTCCAAAAAACCAAGGAGTTTCCAGCTTGACAACTTTCCAGAGGCTTCAAGGGGGGTTTGTATGGAATCACAACACTGCAGTTTTATCAGCCCAGAAAACAGAAAGGAATTGTCTCAGGGAACTGATTTTCCTTCAGAAAGCCCCATTTTCACTCTCCCTAATCCAGAAGAAGAGAGGTTGTTGGTGGAACATGGAATCAGGGACTGGTTGGGGTTGGGAAGGACCTTAAAGCTCATCCAGTCCCCCCCCCCCCTTGCCATGGGCAGGGACACCTTCCACTGTCCCAGATTGCTCCAAGCCCTGTCCTTGGATAAATAAGTGAGAAAAGCAGCTCCAGGGAAATCAGTGTTTGCTGACAACAGCAGCAACTCTGTCCTGCCTCCGACAGTGTCAGGGGAGGAGATGCTCCAAAATCCTGTGGGATGGAGACACCTTGGAGATCAGTGCTAAAAGCTGCTGAATCTGCTCCCAGAATCCCAGGATGACTGAGGTTGGAAAAGCCCTCCAGGATCATCCAGTCCCCCCTGTGCCCGACCCCCACCTTGTCCCCCAGCCCAGAGCACTGAGTGCCACGGTCAGTCTTTCCTTGGACACCTCCAGGGGTGGGGATCCACCACCTCCCTGGGCAGTTCCAATGCCTGACAGCCCTTTCCAGGAAGGAATCCTTCCAGAATTCCCAGGCTGCTTCTCTGGGAAGAAGTCATGTAACAGTGAACAGAAAGACTCTGTTCCCACTGTTTATCCACACGGGATTTCCCATTTCCAGCTGCTTTGTTGCCCAATGTGGATTCTGCTTCCAACTCTACTCCGGACAAGTTATTTATTCCCACCCCAGCTTCCCTCTGGAAGCAGATCCAGTGCCATCCCCAGGCCCTGATGGTGCAGGGTCAGACCTTCCAACATCCAGGGCAGGAGAGGGCTCGTAGTGATGGAGCAGCTCGTCCGCAGCATCCCCAGGTCTGTCCCTGGAATCAGAGCTGGACCTGGAACAGGGGGAGATTGGTGGGTCCCAACAGGAAGCTCAGCAAGTTGGAGAACACAGCAAGAAGCAAAAACACCAAACAGGAGATTTTCCTGTCTCCAATGTAACATCTTCTCTTCCTGCTCAGCTCAGGGAATTTCCTGGAGGGCTGAGCCATAAATCCAACCAACCCATCCCCAAGCAGCTGGAGGATCTCAGTCCAATCTGAGGGGGTGGGTCAGGCCCACCCCTCTTTAGTGCCCTGACATTTGTCAGTGCTGGGTCAGGAGAAGACCCTCCTCACTCTAAAATCAAAAAGTGAATTTTACATTTATTTGACACTTACTTGGGTGGGTAAAGCCCATTGTTGGCTTCTGTGTGCTCAGGGAAGCTGCAAAGGAGAGACACAACTTCAGGAAGCAGCTTTGGGGAATGCTGTACAGTGATTTTCCCGTGCATTTCTTAAAAGAAAGGAGGGAATCCCTAAACTTCCCAGGGATGTCCCTGTCCACAGGGAAAATGGCAAGAAACTTTGGGGAATTCAATGCATGGGAAGCACAAATTTGGTAACTGTTGCAAAAGTAAATAAAAAGGTGGAGGTTGGAGGCTGAGAGAGACATTGAGTGTGAACCTCTCTGTACTGTTAAAACCAGAAATAAAATCCATTCCACAACTGGTTTACATTTGGGAATAAACCTGGATTTTTTTTGTGTTATTGAAAGTAAAAAGGAACAAAATATCCCACAATTTGATTGAAGAGGGCAGTGTTTTCTTTACTCCCTCCCTTAAATGAAATTTAGAGAAACTGCTGCAGTTCTGCAAAGCCCACATTGAATGTGTTTTTCCACCAGCAAATATCCAGAGATTCCAGACAGCTCCAGAGCAGCAGTTGCTGATTTGCACAACACCCACTAAAGGAATCTCAGGAGGAGATGGGAGGACTTTACCTTCCATTCGTGGAAGCCCCGGTGGCTCTGGGGGCCTCATCCCATGGGAAGGTTTCAGGCTTTTCCTTCAGAGCTTTGTCACTAGAAAAAGGAAAATTCCGGTGAAAACGTGACCTGTCAGCATTTCTGATGGATCATTCCACAATAGTGTGCTCATATTTAGTTGAGAGGAGCCCAAAATGGGGCTAAATCTATATATCAGGATAGGAGGGTCAACCACCTGAGCACAGAGGGCCTGACTGCATCTTATGGATCATGGAATGGTTTGGGTTGGAAGGACCATAAAGCACATCCAGTTCCACCCCCTGCCATGGGCAGGGACACATTCCACTAGCCCAGGGTGCTCCAATCCCCCTCCAACCTGGCCTTGGACACTTCCAGGGATGGGGCAGCCACAGTTTCTCTGGGAAATCCATTCCAGTACCTCCCCATCCTCACAACCAACAATTCCTTCCCAATATCCCATCTAACCCTCTGGCAGTGGGAAGCCATTCCCTGTGTTCTGTCCCTCCATCCCTTGTCCCCAGTCCCTCTCCAGCTCTCCTGGAGCCCCTTTATGCCCTGCAAGGGGCTCTCAGCTCTCCCTGGAGCCTTCTCTTCTCCAGGGCTCCCCCAGCCTGACCCTACTCCCACCTTTCCCTCTCCAGCCCCGTCATGCTGTGTCTCCATGTCCTCCCTTCCCTGCCGGTTCCTCCCTCGGCAGTTTGAGGTGGTTTCAGTCCTGAGGCATCCCCGAATTCCCCTGGGAGCCTGGCTTCCAACCAGGAGCAGCTCTGTGCCCCCAGTGACCCCAGGCAGGCACAAAGGGGGCCTTGTATTCCGGCTGCTCCTGCAGGGACACGCGGGGACACGGCCGTGGCTCTCAGCTCAGTGTCCACCACAGCCCAGCCTCTACCTTTCCTCGAGCACTCCAGACTTTGCTCCAGCCTGGGATGGCACTCTGGGGACATTTCCAGCCTGACTGTCACTGCTGGGGGTGCAGAGCGAGCAGCAATGAACTGTGTGTGCCCCACAAAGTCCTCTGGTGACCCCCAGCCTCCCACAGCTCTGGAAGCACAACAGGGGAGGCCACGGGGGCAGCTCTGCCTGTTCCAGTCCAGACCAGCCCCAAATCCAGAGGGCTCACCCTGGGAACAAAGGGAGCCCTGCCAATGTGGGGGATATTTTAGAGACCACAGAATCCCAGACTGGATTGGGACCTTAAAGCCCATCCTGTTCCACACCTGCCATGGGCAGAGACACCTTCCACTAGCCCAGGTTGCTCCAAGCCTTGTCCAACCTGGCCCTTGGACACTTCCAGGGATAGGGAGTCAACAATCAAGAGCCTTTCTGGAATTCTCCCGTGTGCATTCCACAGGACCAAGGAGAGGCAGATCCCTCTCTCTCAGGAGGGCCAGAACCTTCCCTGCCCTCAGCTTTGAATTCCCTGTGTCACCTGTCCTTTGGGAACCTCCGTTAGCCTTTAAATTCCCAATCAGTTCCATGTTCCTCAGGTTTTCCTCCACACAACAGAGCTTTCCACACTTCCCCACCCCCTCCAGATTTCCCACAGAGGCCCAGAACCCACAGCAGCAGGAGCCACTGGCCACTGAGGGTCAACACATCCCTTGCAGGTGAAAAAGCTCCCCAGGGAATGGCAACTGGAGCAGGAAAATAAAATGAAATGCATGAACAAGAGTGTTTAGGGACTGAGGCAGAGAGCAGGATCCTGCAGGGAGGGGAAGGAAGGGTGGAGAACACCGACAAGCTGCAGCTCAGCCAGCGGATGATGCTCTTGGAATGCAGCCCAGGCTGGAGGGATCCTGTCCGGGGGGCACCGGGAGCAGGTGGATGCTGTTCCTGAGCAAAGAGCTTGTGTTGAGCAGAACAGAGCAGCCCCTCCCCACTCCTTACCTGTCCCCACGCTGTGTCACAGCCTCCCAGGAGGATTTCCCATTCAGGGCCTGGCTGTCCTCACCATTCCTGCAGGGAGAACAGCAGGAAGCGTGAGGGAGGGGGCTGAGGGGCAGCCTGGGGCACAGGGGGGTGTTTGTTGGGATTGTGCTGCCAACAGGGCAGGGATTGGGGTCAAACAAGAGCAGGTTCAAAGAGCTGCAGGTTTGGGCTCATTTCCTCAGCACAGAGAACCAGGTGATGTCCAAGCTGTGGGAGGTCCATCTGGGAATGTTTCCTCCAGGATTGCTGATGCTTTTGGGAAGTGCTCCTCTCCTCAGTTCCCTCTGCTGAGTTCTTGCTGTGTCCTGGATGTGTCTCCAGGAAAACCCCTCCCCAAGCAGAGCCAAACGTCCCTTTCCTGGGGAGCCTGAGGGGCCAAGAGACCCACCTGATTCCAGCAGAAGTGGAGCTTCTCCCTGAAGTTTCCCTCAGGGATGGGGATGTTTGGCTCCTGCTGTCTGTCGTGGGGCTGCAAGAGAAGGGAAAGAACGAGGCTGTCACTCCTCACCCAACCAGCTCCCTCTGCAGCTGCCCAAAACTGTCCTGCTTGAAGAGTCCCTTTTGGGAATGGAGAAAGTGGAAATGAATCCTCACTGTTTTCAACCCACTCATTTACAGAGTTATCTTATTAAAACCTTTAAATTGAAACCAAACCACTGCTGTTTGCCAGGAATATCCACCTCCTGCAGTGACACCCCAACAAACACACCAGAAGCAGGGAAGTAGCAAAAAACACTTCACCATGTTTGCAGTGAAAACCATTTCACCACTTTTTATACCCTATTCATGGATTCAGCCAAAAAAAAAAAAAGGAAAACAACTGAAAATTATTCCCCTACACCTGTTTTGGCAAGAAAGAGTTGAGCTGGATGGGGCTTGGAGCAACCTGGGGTAGTGGAAGGTGGAACAAGATGAGCTTTAAGGTCCATTCCAACCCAAACCATTCCATGATTCTGTGTTTGGGGTTTTTCCTTTCACATCCTGAGGTTTTCTCTCAGGATGTTGCGAAATCCTTGGAGGACATGACACGGATTTTAGACATAAAACCTTTTCAAAACAGCTCTCTGCAGCTAGGAAAAGGTCTTCTATGTTCAAGGCCGACAGATTTGGGTCATTTCCCCTCCCTGAGGGGGACTCTCCGACCTACAGCCCCCAGAATTATCCCAGATATCCTGGCTGTGCTGCACTTACCTGGAGGGAGAGGCTGCTGCTGCCTTTGGCTCATCCCAGGAAGATCCAGGGGTGGTTTTCCTTGGCCTATCAGCACTGACAAAAAACCCAAACGACAAAGCATTAGAGACAAGGGATTTTTAGGAGCTTTTTTCCTGTGGGGGTCCTGCTTTCTGCCCCACAGCTCTTGTCTCTCCCTGGGTGTCCCTGTGCCCCGTGGCACTGCTGGGACTCACACCTGCCTTTCTGCTCAAGGACCCCGTTTTACAAATTGATTTTTTCCCCTTTACCAAAAGCTGCAGCTCTTCCTATGCCCAGCCCGTGCATTTGTGCAACAAACTCCCCCAAAATGCACAGCTGAAAGCTCAGAATTCCCCAAAATCGAGTGATGTGAGGGAAGGAGGGAAACTGCTCCCCAGCCCTGCCTCAAACCTGCCCCACAAGGGCACGAAATCAGCGCCGGAATTCCCGAGGCAGCTCCTTCATCCCGAGAATAAAGCAGCTGGGGCTGAAAGGCCCCATTTATTGGGCTCCCTGCTGGGCCCACGAAGGCCCAGAGTGGCAGAGAAGCTCATAATGCCCTGCCTGGCGTCCAGCCACCCCTCAGAGCAGGGACATGGAGCTGAATCCCAAATGAAACGGCTCTGCCTGAAAACAGAGGAGGATTCTCCCTCCCAGGGCAAATATTCCTGGTTCAGCTAAACTTTCCTGCATCTCCCTCAGCCCCACACCCTGTGCCAGCTGCTCCTGCCCAGTGTGGGCTGAGGAGGTCTGTCATTCCATGGCAGGAACATTCCAGGTTGTCTGTTGTCCCTGGGAGAGGGACTGGGGCCGACACCTGCCCTCAAAATCAGTTTGAAGACAATGAACCTCCCACCCCCCTCTGCTCGCACCCATCACAGCAGAATAACCAAATCTCAGGCCTAGGAAAGCAGAGCTGGCTCGGGGATGGGAATACCAGGATATGGAGTATTTGGGATGGGGGTGAGGGGGGCAGTTCACACAGCCAAGCTGGGCAGGAAGAGAAAACTTTTGCTGTCTCAGGGCTGGGCGAGGGTTGCTCTGACTCCTCCTGGGATTGTCTTCCCTCAAGGGCCACCAAGGCTCATTCCTGGTGGAGACAGGACTGAGGGGGCTGTGGAGGGAGATCAGGAGGGGCTCAGGGCCAGCTTCTGCCTCTTCAGCTCCCTGAGAGGCCTTAATGTTGCAGTGAAATGTTAAAGGTGGCATTCAAGGCTGTTTGCCACGCCCAGGGCTGGCACTTGGTACTTGGTGACACTGCCCTGTCCCTTTGGCTGCCCCTTTGTTTCCCCAGGAGAGCTGAGGTCATCGTTCACTTTGGATTCTTTCCTTAGGAAAGGACAATCAGGATTTCAGAATCATGGAATGACAGGATGCTTTGGGTTGATGGAGACCTTAAACACCTCGTGCCACCCCCTGCCACGGGCAGGGATACCTTCCACCAGCCCAGGTTGCTCCAAGCCCCGTCCAGCCTGGCCTTGGACACTTCCAGGGATGGAGCAGCCACAGCTTCTCCGGGAAGCCTCCTTTGCAAACCTTCCATCTCTGGTTGTGCTCAGGGAGCTGCTGCCTTGCAGAGAAATGCACTTATCCCCAAACCAGCGAGCCCTGGCATCCCAGTGCCCTGGCATCCCAGTGCCACCCTGCTCCAGGCCGAGCAAATACCTGCTGTCATCCGGCGCAAACCGGCGGGAACCCGGCACGGTTGGACTCCTCCTCTGCTGCCCCTCCTCCTCTTCTATCTCAATTCTTTCCAAGGGGAAAAAGAGAGACAAATGCCACGCTGCTTCCTATTTTCCCCAGCTAACCCAGGAGGTGTGGTCCTGTTTTCCCTGGAGCTGTGTCTGCCCTGTTTCCCCCAGGGGCAGGTTGTTCCTGCTCCTCCTCCGGAGCTGAACAGAGCCAGGTCAGAGACAATTTTACAACCAGCATCATCTGAGTGCTTGAATTCCAGAGAGAGACATTTCCCTACCCCACTGACAGCTTTGGAAGTGGAATGCCTGAAGAGCATTCCCCGGCTGGCCAGAGTCAGATTCCCTGGAAGCACAAAGTCTCTCCACGTCTCACGTTGTCCATAACCCAAAGCACCATCAGTGTTGTTTTCCCACTGTTTATCTCAAGAGAATCCCAGTGTGATCCCACCCCAAGCATCCTTTTTAAGGGAATTGTCCTTCCTCTGCTTTGAAACACCCGGGATCTGCTATCCCAGCATTTAACAGCAACCTGGAATATCCACAGAACCCACTCCAGCAGCGCTTCCCGAGGGTCCACGACCTACCTCTTGGCAAACAAGGGTGGGAATTCCTGTGTTGGGCTGCTGTGAAGGAAGGATTGAGGCAACAGTTAGAAGTTTGGAAGGAAAAACACACCTTGGGCAGGGGCAGAGCCCCCAAAATCCCTGACCCAGCACTGCCCCAGGGGCTGCAGGGCCCTGTCACCCCCTTTGGGCAGAGCTTGCAGTGCCCAGGGGGGACAAATTCCAAATCAAATAATACAAATACAAATACACAAGTAGAAAAAGCAGCTGGGAAGGAAAGAAGCTTCCCCAAAGGGCCTTTTTAATTGCAAATTGATACAATTTTTTTAATTGTTGTTCTCCCAGCACGCAGACCTGGCTCTTCCCACAGCACACGCTGCCCAGTGCTCCAGAGGAACCAGCAGCCAGGGAAAAAAAAACACCCTCAAAGTCCTTATAGATCCTGTCCAAGCGCTTTCCATGTCCTTACACATCCTATCCAAGCACTTCTCCCACCCTGGGCACCGTTGAGTGCCGCTGGCACATCCCCTCCCTGCTCCTGCTGCACCTCCCTCCCGGTGCCTCGTTGTGTCACCCAGAGTTATGTCAAGAGGAAAAGCATTTCTAGTGAAAGCAGCCTGCAAAAACACCACAAAAAACCCACCCCACCACAGCTCCTGGGAGAGCAGAGACCTTGAAAATCTGCTTTTTTTTCCCCTCCCAGGGAAGAGATGGACAGTAAAGCCTTGGGCACCCAGAGCTCCCACACATCCCTCACGCTCCTGTGAGGTTCTCCCCTCCTGTGAACCCACACAGGGGGCTTCTTTTTTCCCCACAGAACTATTTTGAAGCTGCAACTAAGATAAGGGTCTTGTAAATGCAGCTCTTGTCCAAACACAAACTGTCACAAAGAGCTGCTCCATGCTGGAGGCAGTTTAGGTTTGTTCTGATTTTTCTCGTGCCCTCAACGAGATTGGAGAGAGCACTTTAAGAGCTGAGGCTGAAAATTGGACTTTCTATTGCAGAGTTCTCGAGGTTTTTCTTTTCCTGAAGTTTCATCCCTCTCAGGGAGGAAGACTTGGAGGATTTCCCCAGTTCTGCAGAAAGCTGTAGATATCATAGGATCATGGAATGGTTTGGGTTGGAAGGATCTTAAAGCTCATCCAGCTCATCCACCCCCTGCCATGGGCAGGGACACCTTCCACTAGCCCAGGTTGCTCCAAGCCCCCTCCAATCTGGCCTTGGACACTTCCAGGGATCCAGGGGCAGCCACAGCTTCTCTGGGCAACCTGTTCCAGGGCCTCACCACCCTCACAGCCAGCAATTCCTTCCCAATATCCCATCTAACCCTCTGGCAATGGGAAGCCATTTCCCCTTGTGCTGTCCCTCCAGGTCTTGTCCCAAGTCCCTCTCCAGCTCTCCTGGAGCCCCCTAAAGGCACTGGAAGGGGCTCTCAGGTCTCCCTGGATCCTTCTCTTCTCCAGGTGAACCCCCCCAGCTCTCCCAGCCTGGCTCCAGAGCAGAGGGGCTCCAGCCCTTGAAGCATCTCCGTGGCACATCCTTGCCAGCTGCACCTTTACCATTACCACAGTTCCCTTCACCTTCAGAGCCTTGGGACCAGCCACCATTCCTGTGAGACACCTCAAACAGCCCCTTCCCAGCTCCTGCCCCACCCTGGACATTGGAGACTCACCCGTTGCTCTTCTTGGCCGCCGACAGGACGTAGGCGCGTTCCCGGCCGGCCGAGCGCCGCAGGACACTGTTGGCAGCCTCAGCCCTGTAAGGAGGGAGAGACAGGGTCACATCCTGCTCATCCTCACCCTGGCTGAGCTGGAGATTCCAGGAATAACCCAGAGGAGGCTGGTGCTGACCCTGACAGAGCTCCCACACCCTGGGGAGCAGAAATCAGAGAATCGTCAAGGTCGGAAAAGACCTTCCGACCATCAACCAGCACCACGGTCACCTCTAAATCACCTCCTCAAGTGCCACATCCATGGGTTTCTTGAACACTTCCAGGGATGGGGAATCCACCACCGACCCCTCTTTCTGTGAAGAAATTACCCTAAAATCTCCAGTCTCCATTGAGCCAGAGCTCAGAGCAGTGACAGTGTCTTAACTTCTCCTTCAGTATCATTCCTGCTGGACCACAGCACTTCCACGTGGATGGAAGGCACCAGGGGGGAAAACCAAACACTTCCTCTTGCAGGAGGGCAGAGAGAGTTTTCCATTCTTTTCCCAGACCTGGGTTTTTGCAATATTGGATACCATGGGACAGAAAAATGGGAGACAGGACACGCTCTGTGTTCACCCCAACGGCAGGAGCACCGTGAGCACCAAGGGAGAGAGCAAATCCCTGAAAGGGTTTCTAATGGTTTGACCCCAGGGGGTAAATTACCCAGTTTTCATCTGAACAAGGCTTGTGTCCGAGGAAAAGGGGCTTCAGAGGCTCAGCTGGAAGCAAGAAGAGAAATCAGACCTGTTCTTGTCTGCTGCCCCATCCCTGGAAGTGTCCAAGGCCAGGTTGGACAGGGTTTGGAGCAACCTGGTCCAGTGGGAGGTGTCCCTGCCCATGGCAGGGGTGGGACTGGATGGGCTTTAAGGTCCTTCCAACCCAAACAAATCTGGGCTGATTCCATGATTCTGCTCCTGAGATGAGCGTGACAGACCTGCCAGGATGTGGCCTTGGATTCCATCCCTGAGTGATCCCGACCCCGGGGGAGGGAGTTGGGCTCCTCCCCTCCTGCCAGGCTGTCTGTACATCTCTATCTTCCCACTGGGACACGAGGCAGCCCATGGATTCCACAGCCCCTCCCAGCTGCCCAGTTAATTGGGCTGTGCTGTCAGGATGGATCATGTCAGGCTTTTAATTACATTTTGTTGGGAGGGCAGTGGCCCGTGGGCAGAGCTGGGCTCTGAGCAGAAATATCTGATTATGATTATTATTATTATTATTATTATTATTATTACTACTATTTTATTGCAAAACCAGCCCTAATGGCTCATCCATGTCATTCCCAGGAATGAACAGCCCAGCTGGAGAGATGCCACTTGTCCTTGTCCCTGCAGGAACACGGAGGGACCTCCAGGACTCACCTCTTCTTGTGTTCATCCGGAGAAAAAGGCACGTCCTCCTCATCCCCATCCACGGATTTTTGCCTGATGTTGTAAGGAGCTCTGCAACAGAGAGGGAAGGGGAGAGCCAGGGTAAGGGGCACAAGCCAAACACAGCTGAATTCATGGACATGTGGAAATGGTTCAGATCCTGGAAAACACTTGTATTTTCCATGTGCATTGGGGTGCACTTGTCCCTGTAGGGTTTTGTTTCCTTCCTCCAGCCCCATTCCAGAGCAGAGCCACATTCCAGCAGTGCTGCCCTGCCACAAGGCTCCTCCTTTCTCCAGCTTTCAGGAAGTCCAGCAATGCTCCAAACCAAGTTCCCAGGCTGCATCCTCCAGCCTGGGCCTTGGGATAAAACTCCCTCCATGCAAAGGCCAGTTCAAGGAACACTTGATGGCCACGGAGGCTCTGGGAGCCACTTCTTTCCAGTGGGAGCTCTGGAAGCTTCCTGGGCATCCCTGTGCAGGTGGCCTTGGCACTGAGCAGGGACAGGGAGTTGCTCCCTCTGCACACTCACAGTTTCTTGTAGTCCTCAGTGGTCATCCTGTATCCAGAGGGGGACCGGCCCGGGCTCTGTCCCTTCATGGAATTGCTGCAGGAGGCACAAATCACACCTGTTAATGTGATCCTTCCCCAGGGGAGCTCCACAGGGTGGAGGAAAACAGGGTCAGCCCAAATATCCACCCTCACTAAATGCTGTTGAATTGAAGAGCAGCATTTGCTTTCTTTTTGGGGTTTAGGACTGGGATTTGAGGTCTGCTTTGCTTCTCCAGGGATACTGTGAGCTGTTGGAGCTGGTGTGGGCATATCCTGCTGTGGGATGGGGGAATTCCACCCCAGGACCTTGTGGCATCATCCTTGTCCCCAGATGAATCAAAACAGGGGGGGAAAATGAGGTTACAAAAGATTTGGCTTGAGATGAAACAAAGGACTTCTAAAATCACAGAACCATGGGATGGTTTGGGTTGGAAGGACCTTAAAGATCTTCCAGTTCCACTCCCTGCCGTGGGCAGGGACACCTTCCACTCTCCCAGGTTGCTCCAAGCCCCGTCCAACCTGGACACTTGCAGGGGTGGGGCAGCCACAGCTCCTCTGGGCTTGGATCAGAGCCACACTCAGATCTGACTCCTCAGGATCCAAAGTCAGTGCCTTGCACAAAACAGGTTTCAAAATAACCCCCAACAAACAAACCCCATTAAAAACACCGACCTCAAGCGTTCCAGCTTTGCAAGGATTCCTGGGGCTTTGTTCCTCACTCCAAACCCTTTGCCAAACTAAACCCAAACCCACAGGTCCTTTCGCAGCCACCCCGAGCTCCGGCGAGGAACACATGGAGTTTGACCCCAGCATTCCATAGGGATTTAGGGGAGTTCTGGGAGCCCCCAACCACTGGACAAAGCGAGAGGGTGACCAGAAACGTGTTCCAAATGTTTAAAATCTCCTCTTCCTGGAGAAAAGGACGCACACGTACTTTTTCTGTGCTTGGTTGGGAGAGGAGGAATCTGGCACGGCCGAGGTCTTGTCGATGGTCCTGGTGAACACCCCCCTGGGGAGGGAAGGGACAGCTTCAATTTTTGGCTGGAAAATGTTTGGGACCAAGACCAAACTACCTGTTAAACAACAGGACTGTCTCTTCAGCAGGGCCCTCCCTGAGCCCTGTGTTCCCAACCAACAGAACCCACCAGAGAGGACTGTTTTTCACACTTGTTGTCCTTCCTTTCCTTCCCCTGCAGCCCAAATTTATCCCATTCCATACCAACCTGATGAGGTAACCGGACTGGGGCTTGGAGGAAGGTGACCTGTGCAAAGAACAGACATCAGTGAGTCAAGAAACACAGGTTAAAACAACAGCAGCAGCACCAGGATTAAAAGGGAATGTCCACGTGGATGTCACACCAAAAATCCAGCTGAGCAGGCCTGGAGGGGTCCTAGAGCTGCTGCACCTGGATCAGCCTGGGGAGGGTTCTTTAGAAATGAATAGTCATCAGGACAAGCACTAGAAAAGATTTTTTTTTTAATAAGAAAAGCGAGTTTTAGAATTTTCCAATTCCAATTAGCCACGCTGGCAGGGTTTTCTGGCTCAAAATTAACGTCAGGATGAGGGCACAGAGGGGAGAAGTTGGGTGTAATCGAGCTCCTGGTTGGTTTATCACTGGAAAACAACTTTATGTGAACGCCTCTGAGGGTCCATTCCTGGGAAGGGAGCTCCTCTGGGGGTATCCTGTCTAAGTGCTACAAGAAGTGGCAAGAGCTGGCACAGGAAAAGGGAGAGGAAGCAGGAAACTGCTCCTGGGAGAGGGCAGTGCTGGCCCAGCAGTGGCACTGAGCTCTCACACAGCACTAGGCCCTTCCCAACAGTTTGATATCCCAGGACAGTCCTCCTCCCAGCCCCTGGGTTCCTGGAGAGCCCTTGTGCTCCAGCTCTGAGGGGAATTCAGTCCCACCCAGGGCTTCTCCTGCTCTGAGGAGCCCCCAGGCTTAGAGCACACAGGAGGCTGAGCTGCAACGCAGGTTTTGTGGGACTGTGGGTTGGAAAGCATCCATCCTTCCTTCCTTCCCTCCATCCTTCCTTCTCTCCATCCATCCATCCTTCCTTCTCTCCATCCATCCATCCTTCCTTCCCTCCATCCATCCATCCTTCCTTTCTTCCTTCCCTCCATCCATCCATCCCTCCCTCTGTCCTTCCTTTCCTACATCCATCCTTCCTTTCCTCCCTCCCTCCATCCCTCCCTCTCTCCATCCTTCCTTCCATCCCTCCATCTCTCATCCATCCATTCCTCCCTCCATACATACATATATTCCTCCATCCTTCCTTCCTTCCATCCATCCCTCCATCCATCCTTCCTCCTTCCCTCCATCCATCCTTCCTTCCATCCACCCATCCCTCCATCCCTTATCCATCCATCCCTCCCTCCCTCTCTCCATCCTTCCTTCCCTTCCATCCATCCCTCCATCCATCCTTCCTCCTTGCCTCCATCCCTCTCTCCCTCCCTCCCTCCCACCTTTGCCCTCTCCATGGGGACAGTTTCCAAGGCATTACACAACCTCTGTAGAAGATGTTCTTAGAAGAGCAGTGAATTTTCGAGTTCCCCCATTAAAATCAGCCCCCCTGGCAGTGTCTGCTGCCTCCAAATGAAGCCCCCAGCACAAGGCAGGGGCTCCTCAAGGACTCTGCTTTCCAGCACAATCCCAGCAGGGAGCAGGTTTGAGGAGGGGAAGAACCACTGGAAGCACCCACCCTGTGAGAGGGGAAGGAACAGGATGGATCCCCAAACCAAGGTGGGCCCCCAAAATTACCTGTCATTCTGGGGAGCAGCAGGTTTGGGGGCTGGGGATCCCCCACCGGCCCGGCCAGACCTGAGAGAGGAGAGAACATCATGAATTGAGGGTCTGGCTGAACATGGCAGTGATGTTTTTGGAGAGAGCTGGAAGGAAAGATGGATTTGGGCTTGGTTTGGGTTCTAATTCCAGCGAAGCTGGTGCAGCTGGTGTTCCCTGGCACTGTGGGAGCTGAATTCCCTCCCAGCCAGGTCTGCCCTGTGTTTGTCACTCTGGAGATGCTAAAGCACTTCAAAAAAATTTAGAGTTCTCCTGCGACTTCCAACGTGCCTGTGCTGCTGGATTCCCAGTTCCCAGGAAAGGGGATTTAGAATCATAGAATCATAGAATAGATTGGGTTGGAAAAGACCTCCAAAATCATCAAGTCCAACCCCTGATGCAACTCCAATTACTGTATCATGGCACTAAGGGCCACGTCCAATCTCTTTTTAAAAACCTCCAGGGATGGTGAATCCACCACCTCTCTGGGTAGGCTGTTCCAATGCCTGATAACCCTCTCTGTAAAGAATTTCTTCCTAATTTCCCAGAGCCCCAGCCTGCATTTATCCATAATAAGCAGAAGCAGCACTTCCTTCTGGCCCTGCCACTGCCTGGCACCTCAGGGACCCCAAAACACGTCAGCACCACGTCTGCTTCCTCTGCAGTTGGAGAACAGAGGGTTTGGAGAACCCAGAGCTCCAGGAGTGCTTGGACAAGGTGGGATTGTTGGGGTTGTGCAGGGCTAAGAGTTGGATTGGATGGTCCTTGTGGGTCCCTTCCAACTCAGGGCGTTCTGTGGGTCTGCTCACAGGAGTGGGAGGAGAAGGGAAGGGAAAAGGGAACATCCTCATGGAAAGGCAAGAAAAAGAGGAGCATCCTCATGGGCACACTTACAGGGGGCTGCTCTTCTTCTCATCCTCAGAGTCCGAGTTGTGGTGGTGGATCCAGCTCTTGTCTCCTCTCAGGGTGGTGCGAACCTTCATCTGCTTAATGATCCTGCGCCGGTCCTCATCCGTGGGGGGGATGATCCCTCCTGGAGAGCCAAGGGGAGGGAGGAGAGAGGGATCAGAAAGGCCAAGGCCTCCCAGAGCAGCAGGTGAGAGGGGGTGGAGGAGCAGGAGCGCGGGGCTCTCTCCTCTCTGCCAGAGATCCCAACACCGGGCGAGTCTTTTCCCACTTCCAACGAAACATGGAGACACGAGGTCATCCAGTCCTCAGGATAAACTTATCCTGATGCATCTCCTCCTCTGCAGGGTGTTTTCACACCTCAGTGGTCTCAGCTTGCCCTGGTGGCCTGTCCCAGCTGGAGGAGACACGTCCTTTGGCTCCTCATTCCCACACTTCCATCACCAAGCTCCCTTTCAAAAGCATATTGTCCACCCGAGTCTCCCTAAATCTGGGAATGTCCTCTCCTGGGTGGGCTCTCTTTCATCTCCATCCTCTTCCTCCTCCTCCTCCTTCTCTCTGTCCAAGCAACCAACCACAACTACACTCTCTGGTTGGAAAGGTCAGCAATGCAATTAAACATAAAATCAAAACGTGGGAAAACAGAAGGTTTATGGATTGGGAGCTGCCAAGTCCTCCCAGTGGGAAATAGATGGGGTGAAAAAAGCACAGGTTCATGGGGAGGAGTATTAAAGCCAAAAATATTGGGAGCAGACAGGAAAAGTCTCTCCCAAGGGAAGGAAATGTGCAGGTGATTGATGGGAAGGGCTTTGGTCATCCCAGAGTGCCAAAATCCTGCTGGATCAAAGTGATTACAGCTGGATATTAGAGAGAGAGAGATAAACAGGGGCATTTTTGGGGGCATTTTTAGCTGTTTTCCCATGGAGGACCAGATAAGGAAATCTCCTTTTCCATGTATTTCTGACTATTTCCCATCTTTTTTCCAGTCTGGAAATGCCTGATAAAGGCTGAAAACGTGGAGCCTGCTCTGCTCCTCACACTGGACCCAAACCAGCTCAGGGGTTTGGACACCAGTGAGTTCCTGCAGCTTATCATCAATCCAAGGGAGCTGCCTGGGCTCCCTGAGCCTGTGGAAACACGAAATAATTCCATGTATCCATCAGGAAAGAAGGGCAGCTCAGTCACTGTGCTCAGGATGAGCTGAAGGCTGCCCAGAAAAACCTCATCCCCGAGGAGCTGCCGGGCAGTAAATTGATTTATCTCTGACACAGGCTCCTGTGCTTCGAGGAGACATTGTTTGTTAGGAGTAGGATTTTTATTTTGCTAAAAAAAAAAATGGTCCCATTGGATCATCTCTAAGGAAAACACAGCTCTGAGGGTGAGGAGGGTGTCCTTCCCCACGTGGAATTAGCAGGAGAAGGTAAAAGGTACAGTTATACAGGGCCACAGCCCTGTCAGGATGCACTTTAGGGACACCTTCCATGGGGAGCACCTGGAAAGGGAAGCACTGAAATTGAAAATTAAAGCTGTTTCCTAATGGAAATGGGGCATTTCCATCAGCTCCATAGCACTGGTTCGGCTTCCCTATGGATTTGGAAGCATCATCCCATCTAATTGTGGCTGTACTTTCAGTGGGGGTTGCAGAGACAGAGAATTTTGAGGAGGGTCTTGAAAAGAGGGTAATGTGGGAATTTATTAGTGATCTGCTCATCTCAAAGCCTTCAGCCAGGCTCCAAGCCCTCCAGCTCTCTGTATTGTCATCACCATGGAATTTGGAGCTTCAGGCTGGAGCAGGTCCCAGACAAGGAATCACAGAATCACAGGGTGGTTAAGGTGGGAAAAGACCTTTTAGATCCCCAAGTCCAACCCCCAAACCAGCACCACCACGGTCACCACTGAACCACGTCCTCAAGGGCCACAGCCACGTGTTTTTTGAATGTTTCCAAGGGATGGGGACTCCTCCCCTGCCTTGGGCAGCTGGGCCAGGGTTGGACAACCCTGTCCATGAAGAAATTTTCCCTGACATCCAACCTAAATCTCTGCTGGTGCAACTCAAGGCCGTTCCCTCTCCTCCTGCCCCTTGTTTCCTGGGAGCAGAGCCCGACCCCCCCCAGCTCCCCCCTCCTGTCAGGGAGTTGCAGAGGCAGAAGGTCCCCCCTGAGCCTCCTTTTCTCCAGGCTGAGCCCCCCCAGCTCCCTCAGCTGCTCCTGCTGCTCCAGCCCCTTCCCCAGCTCCGTTCCCTTCCCTGGACACGCTCCAGCCCCTCCGTGTCATTCCTGGTCATTCCTGCCAGGGAAGTGGTGCCCTCTGCCCTTGGACACACTGCACTGAGGGAGCTGAGCAGAGACATTCCAGCAGGTACAGCTGAGCTGAGGAAACAAAGGAATCACCACAAGAGGGAGGGAATTACCTTTGCTGACACCCAGGGACATCATGGTCACAGCAGCACCTTCCCCTGCACAGACTGCCTGAAGCCAACAAGCCCCTGGAAGAGATGAAAAAAAAAGGGATAAGCAAAATAACAGTTCTGCTGTAAAAACCTTTGTGGAGGGGACAGCACGGCCACAGTGTCACAGCCACAGAGCCCGGAGGGGGGACACTCTGCTGCTGTCCCACTGCTGGGCTTCCTCCCCACGTCCCTTCAAGGAGAAGAAAAACCAAATCCAGATCAGGAATCCCTCAGAGCAGACATGACTGAGGTGTTTTTCCAGGTCTGGGAAGAAAGTGGGAGAGGAGACCTTAGAAAAAGTTGGGATAGACCTTCTGGAGTCTACAGAACCCAGAGGCTTCTGGAGTAACCTTGGTGTTGGTGGCCAGTGGGAGCAGGACATGAGGGCTTTTGGGGAGGGATCTGCCAAGAGATCAACAGATCTCTAGCAGAGAGATCTGGGATCACCCCAAGACACAGTAGAGAACATCTCACCACCTGTCTTGGAAGCAAAGAGTTAATTCTTCCTTCTGACAACAGCCGGGTCCCTCCTTCCAGTGACCAGGAAGGAGAAACTCCTGGATGTCCCCCCTCAGGATGAGGAATTTGCAGAGCACTCACTGCTTGTTTAGGGCTGTAGTTGAATCACAAACAACCACAAACCAAAAGTCAGGGGGGAAAAAGCTGGTTGGTTCAGAGTCTGCCACGATGATCAGGGGGTTTTTTTCCCCCGACAAACAAATGAATAAACAAAAGAAAGGAAACCCCTCAGCACTGGCCCAGTGTTTGGGGATGAGGGGGACATCTGATTATAGGTTTGTCATAAATGCTTATTTTCTTTTTCTACTCCCTTGTTTTCTCACAGAAGCTGCAGGAGATGAGCCCTTGTTTCAGAGGAGAAAACCAGTCACAGACCGGTTTGGGTTGGAAAGCTCCTCCAGTTCCAACCCCCTGCCATTGGCAGAGATGCCTTCCAGCTTTTCCATCCCCCCTCCAGTCTTTCCTTGCCAGAATCTCCTGGATTCTGGAGTGACTCTGCTCCTCAGTAATGAAAAGGCCCAACCCTCTTCAGGAGAATCTAAAATGAGGTTGTTATTCCCTGCTGGTGAGCCTGTCCCTGCAGTATTCCTGCGAAGCCACACGCCCAGGAGGAATTCCAGGCGCTGATCTCATGGCATTGCTGCTTGGCAAAGGCTCCTCCTTTGGCTTGTCTCAGCCAGAGCTCTCCCCACTGCACATCCCCTGCTCTGAGATCATGGACAAGCTCTGCCATCACCCCAAGGCTCCCATTCCTCCTGCAAAAACTCCCAAACATGGATCCAGCTCCCACCAGGAGCAGCCAGCCCATCCCTGCTCATCCTTCCTGGATTCCCCCTTCCCATGGAAATTTAATAGACTTGCTGTTCAGAGAGAAAGGAAAACTCATCCTGAATATTCATGAGGAGCCTCTGAATACTTGGGTGTCTCCTTCCTGAAGGTGGGAGACGAGGCTGGAGCTGTCAGGAGCACACAAATTCCTGTAATCTGGCAAATTTGGGTTAAAAAGGAATCACATTCCTTGGACCTCCCAGAGTGAGGCAGATTCAGACACAGCTACATCAAAGCCCATCCCTGGAAGTATCCAAAGCTGGGTTGGAGCAACCTGGTCTCATGGAAGGTGTCCCTGCCCATGGCAGGAGGTGGAACTGGATGGTTTAAGGTCCCTTCCAACTCAAACCAGTCCGGGTTTCTCTCATTCTCCCTTGGTGCTCTCTTCTACTCATTAAACTCCTTCCCATTCCAGGACAAAATAAAAGCAGAAGATGAGGAGCAGTGGAAAAGAACTATCCAAAATGTCTCATCCATTCCTTTTCCAGTGCAAATTAGGGGCAGGGATAGGCTCCATCTGCCACGGAATGGAGGGGTTTGGAAGCCGAAGGGCAGAGTGATTCCCAGGTGGTTATCCTGCAGGAATAAGCAGAGGTTCGGGAACACGGTAGGGAAACACTCTGGGGAAGGGCTGGAGCGAGAGAAACAACATCTCTATTGCTTAAACAGAAACTTTGCTTCTTACTCACCCCATTTCCCCCCCCCGGATCCACCCGAGGGGACGGGAATCCACAAAGGGTGGCACTGGCACGGGGAGAGAAACGTGCCAGGAACCACACGTGGGACGAGCCTCCTCCCTGGCACCGCCTTCCCTGTTCCCACCCCCGCGATCCCGGGAGAGGAGGCAGCAAACACCGTCCTGCTGCTCCCCCGAGATTCCTGCTGGGACAGACGGCAGGAGTGACGCTCCCCGGGATCGGCTTTGGGCGACTGGCTCCTGTGTTTTCCAGCTCTGAATCCTGCCGGGCGGTCAGGGATGCTCCAGGCCAGGAGCTGGATGGTGACCCTGAGCAGTGGGAGCCCCCAGGACACACAACCACCCTTTGGGGTGTCCCACAGCTCCGGCAGAACTCCCAGGGGTTGGAGCCGCTCCCCTCCTGCTCCCCAGCAGAACAGAGGGGTCTGGAAGGAAACCTTTGGCAAATCTGACAGGACACAGGCTCAGAGTGCCCCCTGTGCTGGCACTGCTGAGGCACCTCCAGCCCTGGGGGCAGTTCTGGGCTCCTCATAAGAAGGACATTGAGGGGCTGGAGCGTGTCCAGGGAAGGGAATGGAACTGGGAAGGGGCTGGAGCAGCAGGAGCAGCTGAGGGAGCTGGGGGGGCTCAGCCTGGAGAAAAGGAGGCTCAGGGGGGACCTTTGGCTCTGCAACTCCCTGACAGGAGGGGGGAGCCTGAGGGGGTCAGGCTCTGCTCCCAGGGAACAAGGGACAGGAGGAGAGGGAACAACCTCCAGGGGAGGGCCAGGCTGAATTTGGGGAAAATTTCTTCATGGACAGGTTCAGTGGTGACCATGGTGGTGCTGATTTGATGGTTGTAATTGATGATCTTAAGGGTCTTTTCCCACCTTAACAATTCTGTGATTCCATGATTTTCTCCATTAACCAACTCTATCCAGTGGCTATTTCCACCTGAGGATCAGGGCCGTAGGATCCTGTTGGACACTGGGCTTGGTAAAGTTTTGGGCTGATATTATGGAATCCCAGAATGGTTTGGGCTGGGAGGGACCTTAAAGCCCATCCAGTCCCACCCCCTGCCATGGGCAGGGACACCTTCCACTAGCCCAGGTTGCTCCAAGCCCTGGGAAAAAAAAGGGGTTTGGTGGTATGGCTTGTCTGGGAATTATGAGCTGGAGCCATAGGATCCAATTTCCTCGGTTGGTACAGAAGCAAATGTGCTTCCCTAATGCAGGAACAGCCCTGGTGCTGATCCCCAGGGCTCTGCTTCCCTCCTGAAAGAACAAGAACATCATTTGCCACTTGAATGAGTCTTGGAGAGTTGAACTCAGCAGGAGAGGGGGAAACATTGAGAGGAAAACTCCAAGATTTCCCCTGCTCTGGAATCCCTCAGAGCTTCTCCAGGCCTCACACAACACAAAAGCTGTTCCTCCCAGAGGGTGAAGTCCCAGGTTTCCCTGGAGTGGGTTTAGGCTCCAAAAGCACCTCGTGGGAGTCATTTAGAAGGTGGAAGCATGGCCCAGGAGTTTGGGAGCAAAGCAACACCTCTCCTGTGGCACTGCTGGGGGAGATCCAGGAATCCCTGGAGCATCATCTCCAGCTCTTCCCCACTGCAGCTCATTTTGGAGGACACATTCCTGAAAAAGCCCCAGGAGAAAGCCTTTCCTCTCCATAGGATGCTGCTCCCTGGCCTCCTCTTGCCAACCCCATCCAAACACAGCCCAGGACTTGGGGGAAAAGGAGAGCAGAAAGGGAAAAATGGCCCCAAAATGATGCTTTGGGGCAGGAAATGTGGTTTGGGCACTCCCAGTTCCCATGGCTACGACATCCCGTTGCTGCCAGGGAGTCTTTGGGTGCACAGAAACTTCCAGAGCTGGGACAGCACAACAAACAGCTCCCTCCCTCTGGCACACTCGGGTGGCTGTTCCCTGAAAACCTGGGATGCTTATCCCCGTTCCCCATGAAGATTTTGAGGGATGAAAGGCCAGCAGGTCCAGCTGAAGGGTTTGTCACCTTTCCCACTCCTGTCCCTGCCCCAGCCCCAACCATCTGTGTCCCTCAGTGTCCCACAGAACCTCATTTTCCCCTGGATTTAAACCCCATCCACGTGGAATTCCTCAGTTCTGTAATCCCCACAGCAGCAAACTGTCTTCACCATGTGGAGACCTAAAATTCCTCTGCCTCAAACCAGATCCATCCCTTCCCTCTTGCCTTACAGCTCCAGAATAAGCTCTGCCAGGCCAGACACATCTTTTCCTCCTCTGTTTTTCCATTACTTCCTAGAAAATCCTCCTGCTGTGTGACCAGGAATATCTCTGTTAGAAAGGCCAGAAAATAAGTATGTTTTAGACACCAGGGCTGTTCAGGAATATAGGTTTTCTCCCAAATATTCCCTACAAATCTAAAATCTAGGGCAAATTAAACCTATTTCAATAAAATCCCTCATTCCCTCTGTATTTATGTGGAAGGTTTTCCATCAGAAGGGCTCCCTTTGGAGCCAATTGCCTCCTCTGAAGTGTCTGCACACCACAGGCCTGGATCTTAATTAGCACCCTTGGGTGCCATCGTTATGCAAATGAGCAATAATCCTGCTCCCTTCCCCATCCAAAGGGTTCCTGCACCGTTAAGCCTTGCCCAGTTGACTCTGGAATGGCTGCACTGGGAAGGATGATTCCCTTCACACACCTTCCCTGGACAACTTCCCTCTGGCTGAATGTTTGCAAAGTGCCCCGGGATTCTGGAATAAATCCAGAATTCCAGCTCCCCCCTCTGGAAACAGCCATGGCCAATGAGCAGCAGGATTCCCCAGGGACCCTGTTTCCCAGGATTAAATCCCACAGGAGTTTTCATCCTCTGATCCTTAAAAGCCCCAGATTATAAGGACAAGCCACTCCTGAAAATAGGCCTGGAAAGGCTACGCCAGGATGCCCAGTCCCCAAGCAGGGAAGGTGTATCCATAGGGAATGGAGCCTGGAAAAAGCTGGGGGAGAAAAAAAAAGAAAGGGAAGAACCCT